TTGTGAGCCTGGGCCTTGTCAGCGGGCCCGCGGGGGAGAGGGAGGCCCCGCGGAGGCCTGGTTACTTCTGCCCGTCCCGCAGTGAGCCGGGCACGGCGCTCCTGGTGCTGGCAGCGTGGAAGAGAGTGCCCTTCTGCGCGGCCCTGGGCCGGCCTGCCGGTACTGCCTAAGGGTGGCTGTGCCAGTGGCTCCCCTTGGTCTTCTGGAGGCCTTTTTGGACACTCTGCTGAACGCGTGGGGTTGAGGGGCCTCCGACATCTAGGGGGGTGTATCTGCTGGTAACGCTTCTGGTAGATTGTTTAATAGTGTGACTAGACCATTGGTGGTGTTGAACGTGGCCGTTTCTGCATTCATCTGCTTGCATTCTGGGTGTTGCTTGGGCTCTCTTTTTGGGATGTTTTAGAGTAATGGATACACAGTGGCATCACGTGTGTGGATAGGTGGATGAAGATCAGGAAAAGTCTCACCGCAGATGGCAGGAAATTTAGGCAGGTTACACTTGCTGGTGTAAAATAAGTAAATAAAATCCATTTTCTCCTCACACCTGACTTCACTAACTGTGAACCTCAGCCTTTCTTTTATGGCCTTATGTGTCATAAAATTCATGGTTTTAGACTGGAGCTTTGGGTAGCATCCTGACATCCCCAGATTTGCTTTTCTTATTATCTTGTTCCTTACAGGGAGTGGAACTGGTAGTTAACCCAAGCAGGGATGAGATGTAGAACTAGAGAGAAGAAGGTAGTGGAGAACATGTGAAGAGCAAAAAAGAATAAAGAGGGAAGGGGACAGCTGGAAGTGGCAAAAAAATAAGAAATCTGAGTTAGAGTTAGGAAGATAGGTCCCATGATGCAGAAACGTGTTCAATAGATCGAGACAGACCCTTGAAACTGGTCATGAATTTTGCTAAAAGATTTTGCTAAAGTAATTTTACGGAAGAGTTTTGAGTGCAGATAGTAGGTTTGTTAGGATACTTGGGGATTGAATTAATGCTTCAAGTATTACTTGATTTTATGTTTAAATAATTTGCAAATATAAAAGCTATTTTAAAATCACTAGTGGTTTTTTTTCTTCAGGTTGACAAAAATGCTGAATTGGTGGCAAGATGGACCTACTGTGCTCTGAGTCAAGAGAAGTTACGTCGGCCAATTGTAGCCTGTGAGCTAGGCAGGTATGAATGTTTCCATAAAGACCGCTATATTAAAAGGTAGAGATTTATAAATAAAAGAATGTTATTAGAATCAAATATGACTACTAAAAATTTTATGTTGTAGGTTGTATAATAAAGATGCCATCATTGAATTTTTGTTGGATAAGTCATCTGATAAAACTCCTGTGGAAGCTGTGTCGCATATCAAGAGCATTAAGGTAAGCAGGTTGTGGCCAATGTTAAAGAGTGCCATGAAAGTTAAAACATGCTACAAAGCCTCATTTTGTTTTGTGTTCTCATTATATACTAAAAGTGTTAAAAATAGCACACAACAATGAAAAAAATCTTAGGGAATGTTATCGTGGCTCAACAACCATTAGTAAAAGCTTATGGCTTGCATTTTTATTTTTCAGCACGTAACAGAACTGAACCTTGCAGAGAATCCAGCTTGGAGTGGTGATAAAGAGAGTATAAAAGGTGACAAATATGATGACAACCAGTCTGCACGCTTTATATGCCCTGTGGTGGGATTGGAAATGAATGGAAAACATAGGTCAGTAAGTTTCTGAATTTTGGTTTTAGAAGTGAGTACTATGCTAAACTGAATATAGAGCAGGTAAAAATGTTTGAATTGATAATGTTCGCTTTCCTCTAGACTCACTCCAACATGTCCATGTCCTTCTTATGCTGGGAGCCCCACAGCTGCACACAGTACCTCAGGTGGGGTCTCACCAGAGTGTAGTAGAGGGGCAGAGTCACCTCCCTTGACCTTCTGGCCATGCTTCTTTTGATGCAGCCCAGAAGACGGTTGGCCTTCTGGGCTGCCAGCGCACATTGCTGACTGAGGTCCAGCTTTTTGTCCATCTGTACCCCCAAGTTCTTCTCCTCAGGGTTGCTCTCAATCCCTTTATCTCCCAGCCTGTATTTGGGATTTCCCCAACCTATGTGCAGGACCTTGCACTCAGCCTTGTTGAAATTCACAAGGTTCGCACGGGCCTACCTCTCAAGTCAGTCAATGTCCCTCTGGATGGCATCCCTTCCCTCCAGCATATCAACCACACCACCCAGCTTGGTGTTGTTGGCAGCCTTGCTGAGGATGCGCTCAATCCCACTGTCCGTGTTGCCAACAAAGGTGTTAAACAGCACCGGTTCCAGTGCTGATCCCTGAGGAGCGCCACTCGTTACTGGTCTCCACTTGGACATCAAGCCATTGACCACAAGTCTTTGTGTGCAACCATCCAGCCAATCCTTATTCACCGAGTGGTTCATCTGTCAAATCCATGTCTCTCTGATTTAGAGACGAGGATGTCATGCAGGACAGTGTCAAATGTGTTGCACAAGGCCAGGTAGATGATGTCAGTTGCTCTTCCCTTATCAACCAATGCTGTAACCCCATCATATTTGTCAGGCACGATTTGCCCCTAGTGAAGCCATGTTCGCTCTTACCAGTCGCCTCCATGTTCTCCATGTGCCTTAGCATAGTTTCCAGTTTCTGCTCCATGATCTTGCCAGGCACGGAGGTGAGACTGACTGGCCTGTAGTTCCCCAGGTCTTCCTTTTTTTCCCCTTTTTAAAAACGCGAGTTACGTTTCCCCGTTTCCAGTCATAATTCCAGGAACTTCACCAGACTTCTCAAATATGATGGATAGTGGCTTAGCAACTTCATCTGCCACTTCCCTCAGGACCCACAGATGCATCTCATCAGGTCCCATGAACTTGCGCACCTTCAGGTTCCTTAGATGGTCTCGAACCTCATCTTCTCCTACAGTGAGCGGTTCTTCATTCTAGTCTGGGCCTTTGCCTTCTGCGACTTGGGCGATGTGGCTTGAGCACTTGCTGGTGAAGATTGAGGCAAAAAAGTCGTGGAGTACCTCAGCCTTCTCCATATCCTGGGTAACCAGGTCTCCCATTTCCTTCTGGAGAGGGCCCACATTTTCCCTAGTCTTCCTGTTATTACCCACATATCTGTAGAAACTTTTCTTTTTGACCTTAATGTCCCTGGCCAGATTTAATTCTATCAGGGCTTTGGCTTTCCTAACCTGATCCCTGGCTGCTCAGACAATTTCTGTTTTTTTTCTGACAGGCTGCCTGTCCTTGCTTCCACTCTCCTTAAGCTTCCTTTTTGTGTTTGTCCAGGAGCTCTTTGTCCATGCAGGCCTCCTGGTGTTTTTGCCTGACTTCCTCCTTATTGGGATGCATCACTCCTGAGCTTGGAGGAGGTGATCCTTGAATATTAACTGGCTCTCTTGGGCCCCTCTTCCCCCCAGGGCTTTGTCCCATGGTACTCTACCAAGCAGATCCCTGAAGAGGCCAAAGTCTGCTCTCCTGAAGTCCAGGGTAGTGAGGTTGCTGTGTGCCCTCCTCCATGTCCTAAGGATCTTGAACTCCACCATTTCATGGTCACTGCAGCCAAGACTGCCCTTGAGCTTCACAATCCCCACCAGCCCCTCCTTGTTGGTGAGAACAAGGTCCAGCATAGCACCTCTCTTCGTTGGCTCCTCTATCACTTGGAGAAGGAAGTTATCATCAACGCATTCCGGGAACCTCCTGGATTGCTTATGCCCTGCTGTGTTGTCCCTCCAACAGATATTGGGGTGGTTGAAGTACCCCATGAGGACGAGGGCTTATGAAGATGAGGCTTCTCCTGTCTGTCTAGAGGGGGCCTCATCCGTTTGGTCTTCCTGGTCAGGTGTGCTCTAGCAGACCCTCACTGTAATGTCACCTGTCCCAGCTCTCCCTTTATTCCTGACCCATAAGCTCTCAGTTGGCTTCTCATCCATCCCCAGGTGGAGCTCCAGGCACTCCAGCTGGTTATTGACACAGAGGGTGACACCCCCTCCTCATCTCTCCTGCCTGTCCTTCCTGAAGAGCCTGTATCCTTCCATTCCAACACTCCATTTGTAGGAGCCATCCCACCACATCCCCATGATGCCAATAAGATCATAGCCTGCAGGCATGCATATGTCTGTAACTCCTCTTGTTTATTCCCCACGCTATGTGCACTATGTGCCTATGTGCGTTTGCACAGAGGCATTTAAGTCACACACACACACCCCCCTGCCAATGGAGTGGCTGGAATTCCTTTTTATGGCTCTTCAGGTGCTCTCCTGCTGACCTGTGATCCTTCTCCAGGCTCTGGGCATCTATTGCTGGCACTGGCATTAAACTGCTAGGAGTGGGATGGATTGAGGTTCCCCTCCCCTCGCAACTTTACTTTGAAGATGCCTTCACCAGCTTGGCAAGCCTATGAAGTTAGGATCAGAATGGGCATGGATTGTGTGTCTTCTAATCGTGCAATAGTATCTAGTTTTTGTTGGGCTGAGGAAGGACATTTCCTTGCATCCTGTTTTGGGCAAATTAGCGATTTCTTTTTCTGTGTGTGTTAATCCTGATGAGTGAGAAGAGGCCAGGTTCACAGCTTTGATAGTTATGAAGTATTTCTTCCTCCAAAGACTGATTAGCCAGGAGATACTCAGGTAGAATTAAAAAGATAACCTGAAAAGTAAACCTGTTTTTACTAGAGCCACCTTCGTATTTTTTCATTCCGTTGAGGGTGCTAGAGAGGAAAGAACTGTAGCTCTCAGAAAAGGGAGATCACATGAACCATGTGCATAATTGCTTCATGTAGTCTTGCAAGAATCTTCCGTGTGGACAGGAGAGGCGTGGGAGGACAGACCCTGGCTAGGGTCGCTTGCAACAGCATTTCTGGAGAGCTTGAGCCAGAGTAAATGAAACTAATAAGCTTGGTGGGAGTGGAACCATTCAAACAGGATGACTTTGTAGTAAACCAGATTGTGGTGATGGTTCCAGAGAAACCTGTTTAGGCCTATAGCAAATGTACAAAAACATCTCAAGAGCATCCGTTTTGCTAAGATTCTCTTGAGAAATTGTTATAAGCCTATGCTACATTACACTTAGAATGAAATAACAAAATACATATTGTGGTTTAATGTACCCAATATTTTTCATTCAATTCTTACATTGTACAGATTTAAAAGTACCTAGTTATGGTGCTGATATCTTGATTAGCTGCAGGACTGTGTGAAGAGAAGGTTAGCTGTGTCCTGCTAGCCCATCGCAGTATTGTTTCTGTGTTAAATCAGCACTGCAGATAAAAAATATATATATATATTGGTGGTTTTTTTTAGGCACAAGGTTTCTTAACAGCGATTGTATGTCTTGTCTTCTTTTCTTTGAAGGTTTTTCTTCTTGAGAAACTGTGGCTGTGTGTTCTCTGAACGTGCTCTCAAAGAAATTAAATCAGAAGTTTGTCACAAGGTGAGCTTTTCTTCAGCTTTAGTAGCAGTGGGGTCACATATGACCCCCCCACAGGTAGATACATAGATATGGCTATAAACATGTGCATGCGTGCATTCGCATCCACTATTGTAAAGTGATTTTTTAATCTGAATATGCAAATTGAAATGGAACTTGTAAAATTTCTGGTTTATAATGGTCTGACGTAATTCTATACAGCCTTTTTAAATAAAAATGTGTTTCTAAGTAGTTGTAAAAAATTAGTATTTTTGTTCCCATAGATGGTTTTGCAATGACTAATTTTTTCAAATGTTTGGTTGGAATTTCAGTTTAAAAAAGGGTGATTGGTTTTCGTGTGAGGTTTGGGGTGCTTGGTTTGGTTTTTTTTCCTGAATGCATGTAGTTTGTGTTTGTCAGTGTCCGCTTTATGTGTTTAAACTGATTACGTTTTCAGGTTTTGGTTTGATCGCTGTGTTTTTAAAGGACATTTACCGTTGTTTTTTTTCGGGCAACTCTTCGCAGACTTTTCAGCAATTACATGGATTATTGTAGAAAATACTGACTGCATTTCACTTTACAGTGCTGGTTTGATCTCATTGTATAGGTTTCTTTATAGCTAGGGGCAATGATAACCGTTGCAAATACTATCCTATGATTACTTTTTTCCTATCACTACTTTTATTATCAGTGAGATTTGTGGTGATAGTTGCCACAGTTAGGCAGAGTTATTTTTCAGCAGACACCCTGATATTTGATAAAATATACAGTATATTTGTATTAAACAAGACCTGTGAAGGAAAAACTTTTTTGGTAAGTTGTGGAGGTAATGTGGAATATTGTTAGTTAGGTCTAGCATCGTATTGCTGCATTCAGTGCTAATTTTGTTCTGTAGAATGCTGGTTTAATCCTAATGGCTCTGCTCTCCTGTTGACAGACACAAATTAATTTTTAATGAAATTTTTTTGTTTGCTTCTAAATTTTTGTTGCTAGATGGATGTAACTGCATTATTAAATACAGGAATGAGATGTTTTATGCATGGTTTGGCCTGTCTGGTGATCTTACAAAAACTAAATGAATCCCACATGTTTTCTGGATTTTTTTTTAATAATCGGTATTTATCGTAGCCTCATATTTGCATGTGACTGTTTTCACATACATGTGAATTCTTCACAACAGTCAGAAGGATGCTTCTAGAAATAATGAAGTGGATATAATATAATCTAGTCTGTCGTCTTTTCATTATTGGATTTTGGTGCACAAAGACAATGGTAACCAGCTGGGAGAACATGTTTTAGTCCACATTTCCTTTGATTAAGGTCAAAGAGTGATTTGGTAAATTTTTGGACATATACCAATAATGTTCTCATTCTGTATTCAGAATTAAGAAGGGGACCAGGACTTTTCTAAATAGGATCATGGGGAACTGGTTGCCATGCTTTCTCGTAGCTAACAGTTTGTTTATATCCAGGGTAGTAATTAGCAGCATTCCCCCAGCACGCTCTGTCTTTATGCAGCAATAGGGCATAGGGTAAAATGAACCAGAATTAATGAAGAAGGAAAAAAAAAATTGTGTTGTGTATTGTACATATGATAGGATTAGGAATTGTTTATTAACAAATAGAATCCTCTTCTGGTACATGTTCTTTCAAAATGCAAGAGTCTTCTGAAGTGCAGAATGTTTGAATGTGGTGGATTTCCATACATACGTTTTTACTGGTGCTAACTGCTGTATCTTAGGAGTGACAATATATTTTCTTAACTGAAATCCAACCTATGGGATCCATGTGGGCCACAGCATTTTCTTTCATGGCCTTGCCACCTTCTGTCTGCCAGTATGTGCCCAGATGCCTGGCCCTGCACGCCCCTGCCACTTCTGTGTGTGCGAAGGCATTGTTACGTGACTTCGGAGAGGGACATGATGAGTGTAGTTCAAAAAGAATAATCCTGTATTTGCTTGTTTACACTCTGTATCTAGTCTTTCTTTTCAGCTAGCAGAATCTGTGTTTTCACTTCACCCCAGGGGATGAGGTTTATAGTATGGATGTAAGCTGGAGAAGTGTCACTCTAGGAGCTGTGTGGCAGTTCTCTTCCTCACTACTGTGAAATTCAAGAAAGCTCTTTCAAAACAAGCTATTCTTGTGCATTAATTTCACCTACAAGCCTACAGAGTAGTATTGATAGTCTACTAAATTGTAAACAGCAATGGTTTCCCAAAGGACTTTGTCAAACAGATGCTGTAATGATGCAGTAAAAACATTCACCAGAGAATACAGATATCCAGCAGCCCAAACAACAGTTCTGCAGTCTTCACCTTCACCGTGTACTTTAAACTAGATCATCTGAACTAGGTAATGAACATATATTTACGTGCTACAAGATTCATATTGCAAAATGTTGTGCTTCCTGAAACTGTAGGAAATTACTTTCCTGTGCTCAGAGCAGAGGGTTGCTTCCATTCCAGGCCTTTTGGCTTGACTCCTGGGAATGCTTACCACTTTGTGGGAAGTCCACAGACAGTTGTCTCACTGCTCAGTTTTCTTCTCCGATTTTTCTGTGGCAGCTCATACAAGAAAGCAACAGAGCAATCTGTTTGCCCAGTGATACGCAGATCACAAAATAAGTTGTTTAGGAAAAAGTTGAATGCGTATGCAGATTTTGTCTAATTCAAGGAAATGGAAAACCTCAAGATGAAGGATTCAGCATTCCTTGGTTTACCTCAACAGTATTTACTGTAGAGATTTGAAAGGCTTTATGAAGTCTAGGTACAGGGAGGATGAAGCAGTCTTTCTCTCAGAGTTCTCTTTCAAAAAAACGTATTTTGCCTCAATAGAAACTTCATGTGAAGAGGTGACAATATTAAATACATTTATTTATCTACTTTTACTGGAATTGTTAAAAAGACTTGGTATGAGGGAAAGGCACATGAATGTGAGAGGAAACTGTCAAGGATGGAGAACTTCTAGTAAGGCAACTGTAATTAATGTGTGAGGACTTTTTCTAAGTGACTTACCTCCCTTGGAAGTAAACTTTTTCTTGCTTCACACCTTAAGTAGCAGTATACTGAAAGATTTGAGTTAAAAAAATAACATTAAAATGTGAAAACTCTAAGGCAAACAGAGAGTCAGACACTGTAGCAGTGTTGAGAGTTTGTCTCTTATTGCCTGAATGGTAAATGCTTTGAACTGTCTTGCAAAAATATAAAACTCCCTGCCCAAAGGTATTTTTGAAAGAGCAATGAGAATTTTTTAGTGGTGGTTTATGCTGGAGAGCAAGCTTGTTACGTGAAGTGCTTGGGACAAGTTTTGAAGCTTTCAATCATTAAGACTGAAGAGAGTTGAAAAAGATCTTTGTCTAAAACAGAGCAATTTATGAATACAAATAAAACTTAAAATACCTTTTTCACAGAGAAGTGCATTTTGTTTGAGCCATATTTTGGGCGGGTTGTACAGAAAGAAAAGAAAAA